ATTTTACATTTCAACCAAAAACCATGAAAATGTCTAAGAAGCTTACCCACGCTGGCGACGGAGTGTCAAGGCAAAAGATTAATTGTGTGTGTTTACACTTCATTTTACGCTAAGAACAGTCAAAATTCGTGAAAAATCGATGCATGACCTAGGTTTTTGGTGAACTTTAAACGGCTCCCCATGACTAACGACGACGACTAACAACAATCAGTGATCACGTGTAAATGTGTGTGTTATGGCACGTGAATCTTTGCAAGTATACACAATCGATGCAAGTAATATAATTGGAGGGCTTTTGAAAGATTTATATAGGTAGGAATAGGTTTCACTAATTAATCCTAAGTATATAAGTCTAATGATATGAACAAGGAAAATACACAGTGGCAAATGGTATGAACAGATGGAAAAGGTTTGGTCGAGGCAAGAAAAATTGTAAAGTAAAATGAGCAGAAAAGTTTGGTCGAGGCAAGAAAAATATGCAAAGGTAAACAAATAAAAGTTGTCAAGGCTAAAGTTGTCAAAACTCTGTAAATAGACTGCAACCTCACACAATCAGACTTCTAACAGAGCACTTGGGTTGGATTTGCTACGGCGAGAAATTATTCTGTCTTGGATGATCTAGTATGCTACGCCTATGTTGCCCGACAGGATTTACTAAAGTGTTCCTAGAGTATCTCTAGCACGGAACCTGACAAACTATTTCTACTACTTAGTGTAAACTACAAACTTTGGTTTGTCAAACTGTTACTGCGGAAATACTTCTCAGCGTAAACTGTAGAGCTAGCTTATCTACTCAAACATTTACCCTTCTTAGTCGAATAAAACCCTCTCCTTATCTCTAAGACAGATTAGAAGCTTACTATCTTGGATTAGTTTCCTTGTTCATGTAGATATAACCTAACTCTCTCGATTTTAGGTATCAACTCCTAGAAAATGACAATCTCTAAAAAGCTCTTACAAAGGCTAGGAATGTTTTGTTGTGGCACCATACAATCTCTCAAAATCTCTTACACTGTCAAGGCAAAAGATTAAAACAGTGAACAAAACAACACTTAACAAAAACATACTTAATCATTCATTAACAGTAAAATAAGATATCATCCAAGCATTTCCAACACCAAATAAAATAGTTTATGTTGTGGTTAACATCATCCTAAGAATATTCATTAAGTACAAGCCTTTAGAAAAATAAAAAAATGAATAACAAGGGAAAAACTCCCAGAACAGAGCTTTACCGTGACATCAGACCACCACCATGACTGCTCTAGCTCACCAGCCTCTCTTGAGGGCCTGGCCATTGCTCCGATGAAGCCTGACTATGGAGGACAACAAAGACAGACTAGAGGGGGACGGTGGAAAAGAGGTGTTGCAACAGCCTTTCTCCAAGCCTTTCTTTTGGGTATTTTCTTTTTTCTCTTCTTTTTCTCTCTCTTTTTGAAGAGGTATAATAGGATATTTATAGTGGGAATTTTTAGGGTTTAGTGCCCTTGGAAATTCCATAAATACCCTTGGTTTTATACCCATTGTGTGAATAAAATGACAGCTGACAGTGATCTCAAATTCTTAGCAGGGATAGGGGTTCATGTGAGGTGTATTAGACAACTGCCCATGTGACGTTAGCAATTTTGTCTCGTACTGCGGTAGATTGGCGAGATAAAACTTTCCTTGGCAAGAAATTTGTTCCTCATTGTCATCGTCTTCTGTTCCACCGGCCCTAGCAAATTAATTTGTCTCAGCAAATAAATTGTTCTTTAGTCATTTCCTGCATCTACACAACCAACAAAGAACCTTTCTCATCAGCAGCACTAGTTTAGTCAAATAAACTTTGCCTTGGCAAAACTTATCCACCACATGCAAATATATCCTAAATACAACTATATGCATCTAAAATGCTATGTCAATGTCTTTTAGACAATCAATAACTTAAGTAAAAAGACTTAAAATATATTCTTTTTACGGAGTTATCAATCGACCATGTTGGTCGGACTGGCTAGGCACATCGTTTGGGCTGAGCGATGACAACAACCAGTGGTCAGAGACGAAGATTCGATGATGGAGAAAAATGATCTTTATGTCTTTGGTGACGAACGACGATTGATTTTGGGGGTCTGACATTTAGGGATAGGTCGTGGGAGGATGCTGGTTCAATTGGTGGTGTCATAACACTATAACGACAACCGGAGCGGGGTGACTCGTGGAGGATGATGTTTGGGGTTAGGGAAAAAATTGGGGACTTTTTTGGGGGGTTGGTTCACGAATGGGGGAAAAGCTACTAGATTTGTTTTAAGTTATAACCCCAAACCAAAATTATAAAACACATTTTTATTAAATTATTCATAAACAGCTAGATGGTAGAGGGATGGATGGCCATCCTCTAAGTCAAGTGTTTAAACCAGTTTAGCCACTATTTTTCCATTTTTAAAATTTTTTTCTACCGACCCCAAAAGGGAAAATTCAGGGTAAAGTCCCTAAACTTCCTAGATTTTCAAAACTAGTCCAAAAATTATAGAAATTTACAGTTTAGTCCATAAAATCAATTAATTAATTTAATAAATTTTAAATTGAAAATTGGGGTTGTGATAAATCTCCTCCCCTTAAAATAATTTTGTCCTCAAAATTCATTCGAGTCCAACAGAAAACTAGATCTCTAAAAGTTAATTACTCTATTGACAATAACGAAAAATCTCGCTAGACTCGGAATGAAAATAGAGATCTCAGTGCCTTAAATAAAAAAAAATCTAAGGGTCTCAAGATACGAAACTCGAGTATAGAAAGGGCGTTATAAGACATGCATGGCAAGAAATATAAATAACAATAAATATACCTGCAGAAGTCCCTGACTCAACTCGATGACTAGAACATCAGGTAGTATAGACAATGGTAGGCTTTCTAGTCTTAGAAATAGTTGGTCCTCTACTCTACGATTGAGCTCTGCTGTCGATCCTAGAAAAAAAATCCGGAAGTCCTACCCTGACTGTGACTCCTAGTGGAAGTCTGAACCGAAGCCTATGAACGTGGAGAAGTCTGAGCAGGGGTCCGATCGACAGAGGCTGGATACGGAAAATTTCTCAGAAAATGCTCATTGGATCCACAACAATAACAGGTACCCATCTTCTTACGACACTCTCCCCCGTGTCGATTTCCACAATGCTTGTAACTTGGTATCAGAGTGAAACATAAAGGATCACTTCGTCTAATTGCTAGAGGTGGAGATGATTCAGGCCTCAAACCAGCATGACTCCTCTGATGGGCATCCATAAAACTCATACTGACCTGAAGGACTCCTAGATTGATATCGATCTACCCTTTCTCTATCAGGAGAAAAAGCCTCGACTTCCTCAACATCTTTTTCTCTCCTAACTACAACATCAAACACCTAATCCTGATGAGTAACCACCTGATGTCATAGCACATATCTGATTCCCTGAGTAAACATTTGCCACCTATCCCTCTCGGTATGTTCCAGACTGAAACCATACTTCAACAACTTCAGAAACTCTATCTCATTCTCAGAAACTGTCATATCTCCGTGAACCAGGTCTTGAAACAATTTTTGTCTCTGTGCTAAATATCGCTCTCCGAGGAAATGTCTCTTAAAATGCTCTCTGAAGAAATCCCAGGTCAAGCGATCGCTCGAAAAACTACCCACCACAGATTTCCACCAGGCATGGGCATTCCCGTTCAACAAAGAGACGACTCCCAAATAACGTCACTATAGATCTAAACCTAGATGATCCATACGTTGCTCGGTATCACAAAGGCAATCCTCAGTGTCAGTTGGAGCTCAACCAGTAGGGCCTCCAAAGGACCTAACTCCATTAGCAATTAGAGTCTGAGATATTGGAACTTTGGGTGTAACACTAGCAGCTCGAACCGCTCCCTGAATCACCTAGAAAAATTATCTACCGAGATTCTCATATAATACTACCCTCGTAGGGTCGAATTCAGAAATGGTCGCTCCTCTAACCGGAGTAGTCAAACTTATACCAAGGGTAGGGGATAGATTAATCCGGGTCGCAAGGGCAAAATTATCTACCGAAAGTAAGGGATCTATATGCGTCTCGTTTATCGGGTCCGCAAATCAAGTCGCTCAACCTCTACTACGACCAGGTTGACGACCACACCTAGCACTAATCTAGGCCCCAAGTTCACTATAGAAGGATAAAACCTAGGATTATATTGACACTTGGAGTCCTGTATATAGCTAAACACGTAAAAACTTGGTGACATGGCCTTCATGACTTAATTTGTAAAATATTCTAAAACTGTATTTTTTAGGATCCATTAACAGTCCAAGGTTTAAAACCTAAAAGCTCTGATACAACTAAATGTAACCTTTAGACAGAACCTTTGTGTTACGACCATATCTAACATATTATGATAAAATTTTCCAAAAGCTTCACAATAATTTAAATCCATATTATTAAAAAAACTTTTAAAAACATAGTTATTAATAATAGGTTCCAATTCGAGTAATATATAAAACTACAAATGTTTGAGAAAAAAAAAATCTTTCACAAATCAGTATCGATGTAATTCTAGCATAAGTAGCAAAAGAAATATACGTCGCAAGACAATTATCTAAAAATAAATAGGCACATGTAACCCATCATAATGGAAAAATGAAAGATAAAAACATTACAACAAAATAATACTGTATGAATGTGTCGATCCTCTAAGTGCCAGTCCGGGTCGCCTATCAAAAAGTATCTAAAAGGGAAAGTTTGAGGGAGTGAGCTAGGACGCTCAACATGTTCCAACAATGCAAAAATAAAACATATAGCTAAGTTTCCAAAATCAGTTCATTATTAAAGTCATGAAATTTCGGAAGAGTTTTTAGTATGAAAATACAGAATCACCTTTCAACCGTACATCGTATGCAGTTACCTAGAACTACATCCATAAGGACTTACCCTAGGCCCAAAGGGGATAAGAGTCAACCTAAGAGAGTACCTTGGGTACATAAGGTATGACCCTAGCTGAAGCGTAGATGCCCACCTGAGGGGTATGCCCTCAGGTCTATAAGGACTTACCTAATGCACATAGAAGATGGGCCACCCTAAGGGAGTACCTTGGGGTCCATAAGGTCTTACTACTAGGCCCATTGAGCCCAAAATCCCACCCAAGGGTCATCTTAGTTCCATAAGAAATTAATAGCTTGACGGATGCTGAACCTATATAATGAATTACAAGTTTGATCAAAGCTGAACCTACAGAGACTTCATACCAAATCCCAGAGTGCATCAAAAAAAATATTTTCTGACAGTAACCACTGTTAGCAGGAAATCAGAGTTTATACATATATTTATTTATCATTAAAAACAATAACTAGAGAACATGTGTTAAGCAAGCATGATTTAAAATAGAGTAAATCAGGAATCATACATAAATCAGATAAGTCATACGGTAGTTAAATCAGAGCAAACAATTTATTTCAAATCAGAGAAAATAATCATGTTCACATTGTATTTCAAACAAATGTTTAAAACATATATATGGCACACAAAGAACACATCTTGCAAAAAGAATTAGTCTGGTAGATCTATCGAACACCAGATTCACTATGTTCTTTGACTGTACGAGAACCTAAGTCATAATAGAACTAAATTATTATTAGAGTAGTACACTAAACTAAGTATTTAACAAGGTTGTAGAAATATACGAGTAATCACATGCTCTCACAGATGAGCGAATCGCGATGAACCAGGCCAAGTAGATGAACGATTGGGAGAATCACGAGTACCTAAAATAAACGACATAATAATTTAGTCATTAACCCTTAAATTAAATTAGATGCACTTAATTAAATCATTTAAATGGATACTTAAATTACATATGCATATTTGAGTTTATGGGGTCAATTCGTAGTCTTTCAGGTTAGAATATGGCCAAACAGACTTCAGATTCAGACATAGGATGTCAAAAACCTAAAATATGACTTTTCAAAATTGTTGACTTTTTGGTCAAAGTCAATGGAAAACTGGTCAAAGGACAAAGTCAAAGTGAATGAATCTGGTCAATGGGCAGGTCAACGGTAATGTCAATGTCAATGGATCAGATTGGTTTGAGTTAACTCAGGATGGTTTGGGTTGACTCAGATCGGTTCTAGGGGGTTCCAAGACCGGGAAAGAGCCCAACGCGCACACGACAATGCATGGTGGTGGCGACAGTGTCGGGGGCTGCTACCGAGTACTCTGGGAGAATCTAAACACCGATTTTAACATAAAATATTCCACATTTCAACCAAAAATCATGAAAATGAACTAAAATGTCTAATAAGCCTACCCATGTCAGTGATGGAGGAAAACGACGGCTACGACCTGACCCACTGGTTGGGTTTTCAACGCACAGAGGTGGGGAGTTCAATGGTTCTCTCAGTAAGGCGAACCAATGCCTTGAATGGCCAAAATTCATGAAAAACTGATGCATGACCTAGATTTTCGACGAACTTCAAATGACCTCCATGGCTAACGACGATGGCTAATAACGATCGGCCATGGGGGTTTTGGTAAGCATGGCGAGACACGTCATTTGGGCTGGGTGATGACAACCATCGGTGGTCGGAGATGAATATTCGATGATGGAGCAAAAGAATGATCTTCACACCTTTCACGATGAACGACAGCCGATTTGGGGGTCAGACGGTTGGGAATGGGTCTTAGGAGGACGCTGATTCAACTGGTGGTGTCAGAATACTAAAATGGCGGTCGGAGAGGGGTGACTCATGGAGGATGACGTTTGGGGTTAGGGAAAAATTATGATTTTTTTGGGGATTGGTTCACGAATAGGGGAAAAGGTTGCCATATTTGGTTTTGATTTATAACCTTAAACCAAAATTATAAAACAAATCTTTTTTAAATTATTCATAAACAGTGACCTAGGCTAGATGGTAGAGGGATGAATAATTATCCCCTAGGTTATGGGTTCAAACTAGCTTAGCCATTATTTTCCCATTTTTAAAAATTTTTCTCTACCGACCCAAAAAGAGAAAATTCAAGGCTAAATCCCTAACTTCCTAGATTTTTAAAACTAGCCTAAAAGTTTCAGAAACTAGGCCTCTAAAAGTTAATTATTATATTGACAATAACAAAAAATCTTGCTAGACTCAGAACGTAAACGGTGATCTCAGTGCCTTAAATCGCAAATATGAGGGTCGCAAGATATGGAATTTGAGTATAGAAAGGGGTTATAAGACTTGCATGACAAGAAGAAGAAATAACAATAAATATAGATGCAGAAGTCCCTGGTTCAACTCGATCACTAGAACATCGGGTAGCGTAAACAATGGCAGGTTATCTAGTCTTAGAAATAGTTGGTCATATACTATGCGATCGAGCTCTGCTGCCGATCCTAAAAATAGACCTGGATGTCCTACCCAGATCATGATTCCTAGTGGAATTTTGAATAGAAGCCTGTGAATGTGCATGAGTCTAAACGGGGGTCTGATCGACATAGGCTTGATGTAGACAATTTCTCAGAAAGTGATCACTAGATCTACAACGATAACATGTATCTATGTTCTTACGACACTCTCCCTAGTTTTGATTTCCACAATGCTCGCAACTCGATATCGGAGTGAAACCTAAAGGATCGCCTCGACTAATTACTGGAGGTGGAGGTGACGCAGGCCTCGAACCAGTATGACTCCTCTGATAGACAGCAGTACTAGTCCTCTTATCAGGGCGTGCATAAAACTCAAACTGACCTAAAGGACTCCTAGATTGATTACGATCTACCCTATCTCTATCAGGAGAAAAAGCCTCAACATCTTTCAGTATCTTAACTACAACATCGAACACCTCATCCTGATGGGTAACCACGTGACGACGCAGCTCGTATTCGAGTCCTTGAGTAAATTTTGGTACTTATCCCTCTCGGCAGGTACCAAACTAGGACCATGGTTTAATAACTTCAGAAACTCCATCTCATACTCAGAAAATGTCATATATCTCTGAACCAGGTCTTGAAATTGTTGTCCTCTCTGCGCTAAATATCGCTCTTTGAGGAAACGAGTCCTAAAATGCTCTTTAAAGAAATCCTAGGTCAAGCGATCGGCCAGAACACTACTCACTACAGACTCACACCAGGTGTGGCCATTCCCGTCCAACAAAGAGTTGACTTCCAAATAACACTGCTGCGGATATTAACCTAGTTGATCCATACGTCTCTCAGTATCACAAAGCCAATACTCAGCCTCAATCGGAGCTCCACTAGTAGGGCCTCTAAAGGTCCTAACTCCATTACCAATCAGAGTCTAAGAAATAAGAACTTCGAGTGTAACGCCAGCAACGTGAACTATTCCCTGAATCAACTGAAGAAATTGTCTATTGAGATTCTCATCTAATAATACCCTCATAGGTCAGACTCAGAAATGATCACTCCTCTAACCAGAGTAGTCAAACCTATACTAGGGGCATGGGCAAATTCATCGGGGTTGCATGGGCAAACTTATCTACCAGAGGCAGGGGATCTACATGTATCTCGTCTATTGTATCCGTAAATCTAGTCGTTCCACCTCGCCCACAGCCAGGTCGACGATCACGCCTAGTACTCATCTAGGAAAAACCCCAAGTTCACTATAAAAGGATAAAACCTAGGATTAGATTGGCATTTGGAGTACCACACATATTTAAACTCGTAAAAACTTGATGACATGGCCTTATTGACTTAATTTGTAATACATTTTAAAACCATATTTTTATTTAGGACCCATTAACAGTCTGAGGTTTAAAAACCAAAAGCTCTTATACCAACTAAAAGTAACCCCCTAGACCCGACCTATGTGTTACGACTAGATCTAGCAGATTACGATAAAATTTTCCAAAACATTTTCAATAATTTAAATCCATATTATGAATAAACACCTTTTAAAAACATAGTTATTAATAATAACTTCTAATTCAAGTAATATATAAAACTATAAATGTCTGAATAAAAAAATCTTTCATAAATCAGTATTGATGTAATTCTAACATCAGTCACAAAATCAATATTTGTTGCAAGAATTTTTTTTCAAAATAAATAGGCATATGTCACCCATCATAATGTCAAATCGGATGATAAAAACATTACAACAAAATAATATTGTACGAATGTATCGATCCTCTGTAACACCCATAACCCGTATATTTATACCTATACAGATTACGGATGTCACCCGTATTTTCTAAAACTATTTCAAAATTAAAAAGCGATTTAAAATTTATTTTCTTAAAATAGTTAATAATATTATAAAATTATCATATCATAAAAATTACGTTTCGTTGTAACCAATTTAATTCAAAATTATCATATCTTAAAAATTACTGTTCATGCTACAGTAACTTCCGAAAATTTACATATAAATTCATAAATATTCACCTTTCATCACTATAAAAATTTCCAAAATTAATTAAACAAATAAATTGAACATTTTCAAATTACATGCCACTATCTAAAATCAAATTTCACAATAGGATGTCTTACTGATATTGACATATACCTCTCGATGCTTGATGTCGTTCTGAACTCTTTATTCTTATGCTTTGCTTTTTACCTACGCGTGAAAATCATCACACGCTAAGTATAAACTTAGTGAGGCAATTAAAACAATATATAGTGCAATACAATTCATGCATGAATTTAGATTTCAAATCCAATGCCATAAAACCATGCTATTAGCATCTTCAATATTTTACCATGATCAATATAATATAAATTTCTTACCTTTTATCCCATAAGCTCATAAGCTTATTTTTACCAAAATACTTACCATTTAAAATTCCATAAGCTCGTAAGCTTATTTTTCCAATATGCTTGCCATTATTCCGTAAGCTCATAAGCTTATTTGCATGGTTACCATTATTAAACAATAAAACATAATCCATAGTCAATAAACCATAGACAATAGCCCAATATAACACCCTGAGGACCCTGGTATACGAGTAAAATACATGCACCGTAGTGCTAAACCTGCACTAAGCTTACGCCATAGTGCTAATCCGGACAATACACATAAGGTCGTGCCCACCAC